CTTATTGTATATTTTTTAGTGTCATCTTTTACCTTGATCAAGTTGAGTAGACTTCATCCTTAATCATCATAATTTAAGAAAAATTTGAGCTGAAATATGAGAAAAAAGAAATAATGGTTTATAATTTACTTTCTTAATTCACTAAACACAGTGTTGTGATCTCTAAACTACATGTACAATAAAAATCATTTGTATCTAGCTCTTTAGCACCTTAGCTTTCGTTTTGGCCTTCAATAACTGTAAAAAAAAGCATTTGTAGCTTTAACCCAAAACCCATTGCCGTCTAGTAAATTTCAACTCGTAGTGGCCCTATAGGACAGAGTAGAACTGCCCCATAGGGTTTCCAAGGCTGTAATCTTCACGGAAGCTGACTGACACATCTTTCTCCAGCGGGGCGGCTAGTGAGTTCAAACTACTGACCTTTCAATTAGCAGCTAAGCTCTTAATCACTGTGCCACCAGGGCTCCTTTTTATAACTTTACATCCTGTAAAAACAAAACAAAATCTGTTGTCATCAAGTCAATTCTGATTCATAGTGACTGTCATGGATTGAATTGTGTCCTCCAAAAATATCTGTCAACTTGTCTAGGTCATGATTCCCAGTATTGTATGATTGTCTACCATTTTATCATCTGGTGTGATTTCCCTATGTGTTGTAAACGCTATCGCTATGATGTAATAAGATGGATTAGCAGCAGTTATATTGATGAGGTCTACAAGATTAGATAGTGTCTTAAGCCAGTCTTCTGTTGAGATATAAAAAAGAGAAACAAACAGAGAGACATGGGGACCTTACACCACCAAGAAAGCAGTGCCGGGAGCAGAGCATGTCCTTTGGACCTGAGGTTCCTGTGCTAAGATGCTCCCAGACCTAGGGAAGACTGATGCATAACAAGGACGTTCCTCCAGAGCCGACACAGAGAGAGGTTCTTCCCCTGGAGCCGGCACCCTGAATTTGGACTTGTAGCCTACTAGACTGTGAGAGAATAAATTTCTCTTTATTAAAGGCATCCACTTGTGCTATTTCTGTTATAGTAGCACTAGATGACTAAGACAGTTACCCCAGAGTGTTACAGAGGAGAACTGTTTCATAGGGTTTTCTTGGCTGTATTCTTTACGGAAGCAGATCACCAGGCCTTTCTTTCATCATGCTGCTGGGTAGACTTGAATTGCTAAACTCTGAGTTACGAGTTGAGCGCAAATTGTTTGTGCCACTCAGGGTTCAGTTATAGAAAACAGAGTGAGGCAATTCACAAATACATGAAACTTCAAGATGTTAAAGACGAATTCTTTTTACTTGCTAAAACTTTGAAATCAGAAAAGATAATTTATTCAACAATAATGTCTCCACATATGCACTCTTTTTCTCCAGTTTCTCAGTATTAATTTTTAACACAATTTCGATAAAATCATCTTATTAGTACAATCATCTCCTGCTGTTACTTCTCTAATGTCATAATTTTATGTGGTTCTCCATCATAATCATCACCATAGTAACCATTCCTGATGTCACAAAAGATTATAACTTCTGATAGAAAATAAGTAGTTTGAGCAGATGGATGTGTGAGGAACATTGCCACTGAGTTGATTCTAACTCACAGTGACCCTATAGGACAGGGTAGAACTGCCCCATAGGGTTTTCAAGACTGTAAATCTCTTCAGAAGCAGACTGCTGCATCTTTCTCCCGTGGAGTGACTGGTGGGTTTGAACCACTGACCTTTCAGTTAGCAGCTAAGCGCTTAACCTCTGTGCTACGAAGGTTCCTCATAAGGAACCAAAATTCTGTTTTATATAAATAATAAAATTATGGGAGGAAAACTGATATCAAATATGTATATAGGTATAATTTTTTAAAATAGAATTTGTATCCGACACTGAGAATTTTTGAGAAAAAGAAAAATGTAGTATTTAAGCCATAGAAGTGGAAGGTAGCATGAAAATTACAGGCTTTTTAAATTGTAAAAAAAAACATTTAAAAAAATTAATTTTAGATAAAATTTGCTATTTTAGTTTATGGACTTTTATATAATGAGCTTTCCTTCTGGGCCCACTTTCATTTTATTTGTAGTCAAATAAAAGTGACTTTTATTTAAGAATAAAAAGGGAAAGGAAACATTGAGTTCTTACTGCATCTAGACAGTGTATTAGGGGCTTCCGTGTTGTCTTAGTCATCTAGTGCTGCTGTAACAGAAATACCACAAGTAGATGGCTTTTAACAAAGAGAAATTTATTCTCTCACAGTCTAGTAGGCTACAAGTCCAAATTCAAGGCATCAGCTCCAGGGGAAGGCTTTTTCTCTCTGTCAGCTCTGGAGGAAGGTCCTTGTGATGCATCAGTCTTCCCTTGGTCTGGGAGCATCTTAGCGCAGGAACCTCAGGACGTGCTCTGCTCCTGGTGCTGGTGTCTTGGTGGTATGAGGTCCCCATGTCTCTCTGCTCACTTCTCTCTTTCATATCTCAAAAGAGACTGGCTTAAGACACTATCTAATCTTGTAGACCTCATCAATATAACTGCCACTAATCCATCTTATTACATCATAGTGATAGTATTTATAGCACATAGGGAAGTCACGTCAGATAAAATGGTAGCCAGTCATACAGTACTGGGAATCATGACCCAGCCAAGTTGACAGATATTTTTGGGGGACACAATTCAATCCATGACATATGTATATTATTTAATTCTTACTGTACCCCCAGAGATAGAAGAATTATTATCCCCATCTTATAACTGATGAAATGGAAATTCAGAATTTAGGTAACTGATTGTCCAAGTTCACATAGCTGGAAAATTGTTAGGGCTGAGATTTTTCAAATCCAGGTCAGATGCCAGTGTTTTTCCCCCAATATCAGACTGTCTCCCCAGTTTTCCTCCTTAGTCTTCCAGGCTTGAACCTTCTGACTTCTCTTTTTGGAATGGTGGTGATAATAGAAATGAGTATATGCATGTGTGTTGATGTTGTTATAAGGCTTTTCTATAAGCACGTATGTAAAAAAGTTCCAGCATTATTCCTAACTTCTTCCTTCCTTCTTTCCTCCCTCTCTATTTCCCTTCTTATCTTGAACTGTTGTGTTATTTTTTTTTTCCATGTACACGCTGTATACTCTTGACACTAAATTAACTGCCTATTGAATGCATAGGAAAATGACCTGTAGGCACACCAGCTGTTTATATATTCTGGAAAAGGTACAACCTCACCCATCAGATTGCCTGAAATTTAAAAATCCAAGAATACCTGGTGGTAGTGAAGGGCTATAGCAACAGGATCTCTCTCACACTGCTGGAAGGAGCATACACTGTCTTTGGAAACCTGTTTGTCATTATCTAGAAAGCCGAAGACATGCAGACTCTGAATCAGCAGTTCCATTTGTGCATTGTAAGTAATAGCCCAAACCTAGGAACAACTCAAATAATAACAAAAGAATAGATAAGTAGTAATGGTGTAATCATACCATAAGTATCATATAGCACGGAAACATGCAGCAAAGTGGTTGAATTTCACAAACATAATGTTGACTGTAAGAAGCTAAGCACAAAATACATATATACGACGGATTCTATTCAAATAAAGTTCAAAAAACAAAGGTGTAAACCATATTGTGTTGGTAGAAACATAAAGCAAGTTATTTTCATTCATATTCTCATATCTCTGTCCCCCCTCCCCATCCACATATTCATCCTTAGGGTGAATGGTAGTTTACCAAAATCTAGCCATAGGCCCTATTCATTCAGTGAATACTGGGGTGGTTACTATATACTAGGCATGTACTGCCCACAAGGTAAATATGTAGTCCCCATAAGGAGGGAAGTCTTATTTGGGGAGATACAAGCAAATATGAACTTAGGAAGCACTGTAACACATGTCACAATAGTTGTATTCATTAGTTGCTTTTAGGTTCTTTCCTCAGCCTTAGTATGTAACTTTTACCTGATAATAGAATACCCACCTGGCAACATTTTTTTTCTCATAATAACCATGATACAAGCATGTTTTATTGCTTACTGCTATGGGCTACTGAAGAGTAATGGCAATACAGTATCCTTTAGATTTAAAGCCCCACTGGTACCTAGGGTGAAGAAAGGTCATACTTGTACTGGAAACTACTCTGTGAGACAGGTCACCATTGAAGAATGTAGTAATGCTTAAAGAGTTGGTGGGCTACACTTTCTTCATTGATTGGATACCTCATAATGATGGAAAATTAAGTCATTTCTAGAGGTGACAACTCAGGATGGTTCACAAGTTAGACGTTTATTATAAGGAGAGTTAAAAGAACCCACGTTTGGGGATTTGAGAACTTATTTTTATTTGAAAATTATTTTTTAGTCAACAATAATATTTTAATATCATAACATAAAACTATGGAGTTACCTTGATTGTGGAAAAACAAGTTTCCACCCACTCCTTACTTATCAACATGTTTAGGTTCCAAAGAACAAGTCATTATGTGAAAACTGGCATTATGCTAAAATGGAGGATTTTGTTTTTCTGTTTTCAGACCATCCATTTGTCTGATTTTTTTAATTTAGAAAATCTGCTCATAAAAATAATAACTAAGATTTACTGATGTCATCACTGTGATGAGTCCATTTATGGCTTATTCCTCTGCAGAGACGGAGGCTTGGAGGAGACAAAGCTGGATAAAGCTGGTCTGTGTGACAGGAGATCCCAAGGCTTAACCACTTCACTTCCCTCCTGTGCTGGGTCAAAGCTTCCCTCAGGGAACCAGCTCCAGGCTCCACTCCCACCCCTGCAAGACCTGGTTCACCATCCTGGAGCCTGCTCTGGCTTCTGGGCTGAGGCTTGGGGCTTCCAGCGAAGGGCGCTGGCGCTGGCAGCTTGGCTTCACCTGGCCCCACAAACACGGAGACTTCAGGCCCAGTTTGGCTCACTTTGGAATGTCATTAAACTCCCATGCATTTCTTCCAAACACCCTCTCCCTTATCTCTCTATTTTCTCCTCCCAACCCTTCAGCAGTTTTGAGCCTCAGGGCCTTAGGCTGCATTAGAGCTGGGAACCCCCAACAGGCACCTGCAGGCTCGTTGTTACCTGCGCATCCGCCCGGAGGCTGTGACCACAGAGGAGGCTAGCTCCTCTAGGCAGCAGGACGCGGCACCCCTGCTGGCGGAGGCACGGGGCAGCATGGCCCAGCCTCTCGCAGGCCACCCAGAGACCCTCCTCAAGGGAGGGAAAGCCCCACAGCTGTTGCCAGCTTGCCCACCACCTCGTTAATGCGCAAAATAGTTGGATAGTAGATTTTTTTTTCACTATGGTAAATGCGAAATGTCAGATAACAAGATCATAAGTGAGAAGTAGGTGTATACAGATTCGTGCAATTACAAATGTTCAAATATGTATTTAAAACGCTTTGTAAGATGCCTTCAAAGATTGATTCTGTCACTGATTTTGGTAGGGGAAAAGAATGCAGCATTATTATTTAATCCTTTGCATCCTCATATTCTTTTAAGTACGTTATTAAAATTCTCTCATTTTATTTCCCTGGCTGATTTGTCAAAAGAAAAAAAGCTGCAGAAACACTTGTATAATGATAGTTAATATTTTTTCAACTCAGATGTACTGTATGCTTTGCTTTGCTTTTCTTCTCAAATTTGGTAATGATGTAGTTTCTAGTATAGAGATTGAGTTCATGTTTTTCAGTCTATTCTTGATAATACATGAGTAAAGAGCTGTATTGTAGACAATCCAAACAGAGGGGAAGAACAAAAGAAAAGGAAGAAAAACATTTGTGGCTCTGAAACACAGTTATTTTGCCTTTTAATTGTGTTTATATTCTACTTTACTGGCTTATTTGTTGAATAAATTTTTTGAATAAATTTGTATTAAAATTTATTAAATTATTGAATTTTTGGAACATTGAATAAATGAATGTTGATAGGAAGTCACCCTAGCATTTAAAATTCAGTGCAACTATGCTCCATGTAGTTTCTAAACCTTAGTTTTGTAGTAAATGAAATTAACGCTTAGCTTAGCTGCTCTCTAAGATTTCTTCTAGGTGCTGAGCATGCACAAGTCATATTTTAAAAGCCATTATTTACTCAGCAATTAATGTCAAATACTGTTTGAGCTTTATAATTTAGGGAATGGGATATACTTTACATTTATATTGAAGGTCTGAAAATTTAGATTTGTAATCCTAATGCTCAGTTTTTGTAACATCATCCATATACAAAGTATCCGATAACTTTAGATAATTTTCATTTATGTTATTGGGAAGTAAGACTTTGGAGATTAGATTTCTGAATGAGATTTGGCTGACATTCTTGGTTTTCTCATCTGACAGTTAAGGAATTTTCTGTGATTTTATCATTAACTGATTATCATAGGATCTTACCCTGCACTTATGTAATACTACTAAGTGGACATAAGACTGAAATACTGTTTTGTTTCATTTTACCATGGATTGCCTTGAATTTTTTTAAAAGTATGAAACTAGTGTTTCTGAGGCCCTGGTATATATGAACCATAAGAAATGATAATATGTTAAGTTCCATTGTCTAATATGGCTCACCAATGATTGTAAAGATATGACCTGTTATATTAGGAAAATGAAAAAAAAATTTATTTACATACCGACTTCATAGCTATATTGCTTTAGTGAACCATTTCTTGTGCTATGCTTCTAGAGCTGTGCTGTCCAGTATGGCAGCCACTAGCTACATTTGGCTATTGAGCAATTGAAATGTGGCCAGTCTGAATTGAGATGTAAATTCACTTTTGCGCAAGTAAATACGCTTGAATTTCAAAGATTTTGTACAAAGAATAGATGTAAAGTGTCTCATTAGTAATTTTTATATTAATTACATGTTGAAATGATATTTTGGATTTATTGGATTGAATAAATATATTACTAATTTTTTTTCACCTGTCCCTTTTTACCTTCTAAATATGGCTACTAGAAATTTTAAATTACATGTGGACTCATGTTTCTGTTGGATAGCACTGTTCTAGACTGTATGTTATATTTTATGTAAGTCAGATTTAGAAATAAATTCTTTCCATTCCTGTGTTCAGGATTAGAAAATCTATTCTAAAGCTAGTCATATATTCCAACACTTAAATGACATCTGTTCTATGTTAGATGTACACACAATGGAAGATATGTTTGACTATCAGTTGACTACTGATTGTAATGATGAAGTGTATATTAGTGTGCTTTATAATACAGGGAATAAGGAGAAATGAAACACAAACCATTAGGAATTGAAAAAGGGAACGTACTGCTGGACTATAGAAAATGCCATTAAGAAGACTAATACTAATATTTAGGAATTACATGTTGTGATCTAGAATTATGCTGTGTCCCAGGCTGTTTTCTTTGATAGTAACTGACTTCGAAAGCCAGTAATAGAAAAACATATTTAGTGGCTTCTAGGCTGAGAAAAAAAAAAAATTTATACTGATAGAATATTGCTTAGTTCCTGTTTTTTTTCTTCATATACAGAATTGTTACTTGTGAAACAAAGAGGAGCAAAATTTCACGTGGTATAAACTCCTAGAACACAGAGAGTTTCCTTAATCTCCTATATGATGCCAATGAGAATAATCTTTGATTGTCTCTTTTCCCCATCCCACTCCCATTGCCATGTTTGTTTGTTTTATTTTGTTTTGTTTTTCCAAAAAGACATATTTAACGTCCTGCTTAGGTTTATTTTCTACTTATTCACTAAATAAAGAATAACACTGTTGTGTTTTGTATTTGAAATTGTAAGGTACATTTCTTTTTTCTTTTATTTTTAATTTAACTCTTTGTTTTACAGATGAGGGCAGAAGTGCAGTTGACCAAGCAGGTGGTGCACAGATTGTAGTTGACCATTTAAGGTCCCTGTGCGGTAGAACAGATCCCGCCAATGAGAAGCTCTTGACTGTCTTTTGTGGCATGCTGATGAACTATAGCAATGAGAATGGTAAACAAAACTGAAAACTTGCTTTTATCTTTAAAAATCATCTTTATTATAGTGCAAAACAAAAATATTTAGAAAAAATGATTAATAAAAAAATTCTAAGTGGCATATAAAATTGATAATTATCCAGCATTAAAATACAATGTTTTAAAAATACAAAATGGTCTAATATACTAAATGGGACTAGTTTTTGAAAGGTTACCCTATATTAATCAGCACCCCCCCCCAAAAAAAAGCAATGGTATGGTTTAAGCTTTGCTATCAGTATTTTTTAATAAACAATATTAAAATACTTCATGTTGATTATATTAATTCCAAGAGTATCTTTTTAACACTCACACTGTCTATATAAGTAAAATTATTTTATCTGAATTATTAGTTTTACTTATTGGAAGAGTAAAAAAATCATTACTTTAAAAGCTGTCCTTAGAAAAATAAAGTTCAGAGTAATTGCAGATATCTGATTTTGGAAATTTAATAAATACTTGTAAAGAGTAGTTTCTTTTCTCTAAAACATTCTTAGAATCTAGCAACAAATGATAGGTTAACTATTATCAGATAGCCTATATGGTTGTTAATTGAGCATAAAAACAATATTAAGGCCTTTGCTGTACATTAACAAGTATAGTGTATCATTCATTCATTCATTCATTAATTCATTATCTTATATGAATTACTGCATGGATCAAAAACTCAAATTCCTGTAGGTGCCTGGTTAGCACAAATAAGTCTTTCTGTGGTTTGTTTCATAATGGCAGTTTAAGTTCTAGTCTTTTGACAGAGACACATTTTATTCGCATATTAAACGTGGTATGTTTTACTTCCATGTGTTCTAGAAACACATGGCCTTCTCAGCATACTTTCTATTTTTTCACTTTTGGTAGTTCTGGGTCCGAGTAATAATGAAAGATAATTGGAGCCTGGTGGAGCAGTGATTAAACATTCGGCTGCTAACCAAAAGGTTGGTAGTTCGAATCCACTAGCCTCTCTCTCCTCGGAAACCCTATGGGGCAGTTCTACTCCGTCTTACAGGGTTGCTGAGCATATTTTTTATTTTTTCACTTTTGGTAGTTGTGGGTCTGAGTAATAATGAAAAATAATTAGAAATACTTAAAACAGAAAAGAAGTAAACATAGCTGCTGACATTTGGCCTTGGTGTTAATGACAGTTGGGAGTAGTGAGGACTGTGGCAAATTGAAGAGTCCACCTCCCATTGAAAGGGGAGAGCTCCTGTTCTCTAGCCAATAGTTTCTATGTGACAATTTGGCCAAGTACTGCCAATCTTTTGATTTGAGGGAGTAAAAGCCAAAAATACAGCTTCTCATGTGCTATGTTCTAATTGCTAAATGTTGGATTACATTTGCTTTTTTAACATTGTATACAAGCTAAATAGAACATAGCTTCAGGCAGCATCCTGTCCAAGGGTCACCAGTTTGAAACCTCTAAATTAAAATTACCCATAATAATATAAAAAATAGTTTTTGTTCATCAGATGGTTTGCCTGTTAAACTTAAAACCACAACCAAACCCATTGCCTTTGAGTCGATTCTGATTCGTAAGTATTAAACTGATAACAAATGGTAGTCTTTATAGAGTTAATTACTTCTACTTTTCCTGCCCTCTGATGGAATTATTTTTGAAAAGAAAATGTCCTAAAGATGAATAGGAGAAACAAAAAGGAGAGTCTGGATAATCTACAAAATGAGTAACTAGTTCCTAAATAATTGAAATTTGACTCTAAAACACAGATACCTGACTTACATTAAGAAATCATTTGCCAGTTGTTTGTGTTGCTTCCTCTTCCTATCTATTTCAGTTGGGGTTGGACACCTGAGAAAGTAGGACAAGTTCTAAGTGGCAGAATGGTTTAGAAAGATGAATAAAAGAAACTAGTCATAAAGTTGTAGCAGCTGTAAGATATAAAGAATCAGTCTTGCTATGCATTTAAACTAGTTTGTCCTTTGAAGAAGCTGCTCAAAAATTTATACAAAATCATATCAAATGGCCAAATGGTTTTCAAAAGCATCTCTAATTCTAGGATAAAAAAAGTGTAAATACTGAGATGGTAATGATTAACAACACGCAAGGTACACAGTGTAAATGCATAGTACATTTCTTTGTTGAGAGAAGGTTTTTTTTCCTAGTGTGCAAGTATTCCCAAGGAATAACTTAGATACTTTGGAATGTTATATTAACTTTTCTCAGAACATTATTGGACCAGTAAAAAGTGTTTTTGTTCCATTATTCTAAAAGCTACAACTTGAATACAGCTTTCAAAACTTAATAATAAAATAGAAGTACTCTTCAGTATTTTAAAGAAGCAAATGCCAAACTTGTAACTCTTCTCTTCTTTCCTCTGCTGCCTTATTACATTCTGTCTTTGTTGAGGATCATAGTTGTGTGAAGTGTTCCTTTTTCTGCTTTATGTTCTTTAACATAAATTACATCCTTTGTTGTGTCTGCTTACTCTTTTCTTTAAAATCTATGTTTAAACACTTTCCAAATTAAATATTGGGTCTTTATTGACTTCATACCATTTGGTATTCATCCTGTGCACCTGAATGAGTCACTGAGACCAAAAAAAAAGAGATTTCTGAACTCAAGAGGCACGTTTTATTAGCAGTGATATATCAGGTTTCTTTTATGTGTATTATTTAATTTTGGTACACAAATCTCTGCTAGTGTATGAGTAGAATATTTGAATGTTAAATATCCCCTTTCTACTCCAGCAGAAACATTTACTCCGTTCTTGGTCCCAATAATTTAAGCCTTATTCATAGCTGCGGAGTTATTCTTTAGCTCCTTCGATACAGTTTTTTAAAATATGCAGATAAGAAAGTACTGAAAATGATCACAAAGTCCCACCAGCCATTTTCTGAAACAACATTTGCAAATTGATTGTCCTAAAAGTCCTAAGTATATTATAAGTAACGTACAGGTATAGTACAAGTATATTACAAGTTTCCTCATTGATTAAACAGTTAAGAGTTTTTCTACTCAGACTGGTGAAGTATAGAATATCTGAGTAGTGAAAGTTATAATTGGTTAGCCAGAGAACTTGGATCGATATTTTATAATTAAAATCATATTTAAATAGAATAAGGCAGAAATTTTTAAAACTCCTCTTAGTAAATAATCATTCCAAATTCATCCTTTTTGGAAAAGTGTACGTGTTTTTCACATGGATAAAAATCACTCTTCAATTCTCTGACTTTCCAAAATAGTCTGAATATTTAACAATTGTGGCTAGAGAAAAGCATGTTGATGTTTGAGTTTGAGGGAATGTGCTGAACTTCCTAAAGTTTTCTTCACCTAGTTATAACTTTAAAGTTTTAGTTTTTCTGTAAACAAGGGACTCAAACCTTTTATTTTAGGTGTTTTTTATCTCTTAAATTGTTCTGTAAACAAGGGATTCAAACTTTTATCTTAGATATGTTTTATTTTTTAAATGGTTCTATAAAGAAGGAACTCAAACCTTTTTAGATATTTTTTATCCCTTAAGTTTCTTGAATCTATTTTCTCCTAGCATTGATTACCCAGTGCCAAATCATTTCAGAGTGAAGACTGAAAATTTGTTCAGTTATCCGGCTGTTTTCAGACATAATAGTATTTTAGGACGTAGTAGGATTTTGGAAAGTATGTATTGATTCACTTTTCTGAACACTTAGCATCATCTAAAATTTTTTATTAACAAAATCAGTACTTGGAAGAAAAATAATTATTGTAATGCATTTTCTTTTAATAAAACTAGAAGCATTGTAAACTCTTGCCTGCTGCATTAGTTGATATTCCCTATTTACATAGATGGGCAGAGCCAAAAATGGCATTGAAAACATGCTACTAGTAATTGGTACCAGATCTGTGGTTAAAAATTTGCAGTTGGTGATCCACAAACTTGATATATCTGCATACTTGACAGTTAATTGCAAGTTTGACTAAAAGCAAACAGGTAATCTAAACAGTTACCTAAAGCAAAGCACTATAGACCAGAATAATTTAAAACCTTATTTACAAGTATATTGGTGGCTACCATTATTGTTATATTAAAAGTAACCATGATTAATAAATACCTCTTTGAAACCCTGTAATTGAAGGTTTAGATTTTTCTCTTGATATATCTGTAGTAGACATAAAACAGAGAGAAAAGTTTATTATAACTCTAAAAAAAGTTATAAATGATGAAAAACAGTAAAGCAGAGACTAAGGTTATTTGTTTTACAAAAGCTGCGCCATAAGAGAGAAAGGTAGAGGCAATAAACATGTCATCAGGAAAGGAAAAACTAGTTTCCTTCTAAAATTAACATATACAGTCTGTGACTGATTTCATCTGATCTTTATCATATATATCTACATATATATGTATCATATTTACATATACATGAACATATATGTAGTTTCTACAAACGAGCTGATTGGTTTTTCTCTAATATCTTGATAACTCCTTGTGTGACTGATTTCTACATCTGATCTGTATCATATATATCTACATAGATATATATATGTATCATATTTACATATACATAAACATATATGTAGTTTCTACAAACGAGCTGATTGATTTTTCTCTAATATCTTAATAACTCCTTGTTATCGAAATACTAATTTCTCTTTCTTTGTGGTACCTGGTGTACTGTCTCTGGGATACTCATGATAATTCCCATACTCATTTGCTGCACGGATAACTGAACTATAGTTGAAGGGTGACAATCTACGCTATTTAGGAAATGCAACTCCTAGGGTATGTTATTTAAGCATAACAACTGAATGTAAGTATTAAGCCCAATACTTACATTCAGTTATTTAAAATAGGCCTGTACTGTATTTTCTCTTCTCTAATTTAAGTCATTTAATATGTAATTAATTTTAGCTGCTACTTTTCATGCTTTCAGTTCAGCCAACAGCAACAATTTCACAGTTCTAATCATTTTATTCATTTTCCTAGTGAAGACAGTTCAGTGACTTAGTTTATTTGTTCTTCATACTTTAAATGGGAAGAATAGAAA